CTAAAACATTAGAGGCGGCCTAAGAACTGGGTCGCGCTGAGTCGCACATTTGTCCAGCTGTCATCCCACGTCGGCCGGCCACTTCTTTCGCACCATTTGTCTCGAGGAGCCTGTTCTTCGGGCCGTTATCTGCGCCATTATAATCGAATAAAATCGATATAGCCGTTAAGGTCTTCCGCCGGCATTGTATTTATGCTCGGAAGAAGTGCATATCATTGGGACTAAGGAAGAAAAGCGGAATCCAATGCATCTATCTTTTAACGGCGACCGGAAAGCAATATTCTTAATAATACTCATACTATTTTCAAATATGTAATAACAATCATGTGTGAGAAAGCAGCAAAATCCGTAACCAGCCAAACCAATCTATCCGCAAACTTAGTGGGTGAAACTTGCCATATACTTATATAAAATAGTAAACTATAGGAAGTTTCAAATATTGCAACGAAATGTTCCAACATGAATAAATATTGTAATATAAATGGATATATTTAACTCTATTCAATGTACATTTATCAAATCCAATAAAGCTGTACCTGAGTGGAAAAGAGAAAAGGTTGAAACTCGAGACTGCGAATCAGCAATGTTTTTGTATATTCTTTATAAGATTATTTTGTGATTGTAAAAATTAAAGCATTTAGCCATTCATTAAATAAAACCTTACGGTTTTATGTTGACTAACAATGACTCAACTTTACTTTAATTTTAAGTTCATTTAATTTCTGATAACGTAATCGATCTCGTAAGGCTTCCATAAACAGCAATAATGTCAAAGCTAAATACCTAAACCAAATACTAAGTCAACACTGAAATATTCCAAGTCAACGGGGTTGGTTTTAAATATATTTCGTAAAATTGGATGTGAATAAAAGATAGAAAGACACGAAAGATATGATACCATCGCGGGTCAAGTCACTGAAGCGAGCACAGAGGTTGTGCAAAACCTCTTACAGCCAACTCACGTAATCTATTTGTAAATAATCCAAAATATGCATCGCTACAGTTTCTCCTTTGTTTGCTAATACCGGTCCAGCACAGAGAGGAAGCCCCTGAAGCATGATCCAGAGGAACGTGATTAGCAGAAGACCTCATAATCGAATGGGTGTTACGATTGCAAGCTGTCACGATTTACGGACAGGGAGGAGGTGGGGGTGGAGGTGCATCATATTTTTGCCAAGGAAGAGATAAATGTCTTCCAAGCCACTAAAATGTAATTACAGCAAGGAAGAGGTGTAACGAATTTCCAGGGGACTCTTGGAGCGGAAAACTACCTGATAATGGTTAAATGAATCAGGAGTTTCATCAGCTAATGGCGAAGCTGTAATGGAAAGGTCTGTCTCATTTTTCAACTTTCGACGGAACAAAAACATAAAAGGAGGAAGACAATAAGTAAATTATTATATTATAATAAGCTCAACAAAAATATGTAATATGTATACCAACTAAAAGCATTTTCTAAATAACTAGACTTAAATATAAATTGTATTTGTATGATAAAGACGTGCATTGAGTTATAAAAGCTATAGGCCGCCAATACTGATTATTCCGGGAATTCCTTCATCTGCCTAATTGGATTGGAACCCTTCCCCATAGGCCCTAATGAACCTCTGCGAACTCCATAACCATAACCATTTCCTTCATGGTTACCTCCGTACTAGGCTGAAGGGAACCTTAAACGCCTGATACTCTGATAACTAATCGCTAAGATTAGAAAACAACCTATACGATAATCACATCATTGGTTTAACATCTATATATCTAATACATAATGAATTTAAACGTGATGAATAGGGCTGAAATCAAAATTAGAAGAGTTGTTCACCAGTACGATAAAGATGAAAATTTATATAGCAGGTCTTAAAAATTCTGTATCTTATATATAACAAAAAACAATAACTTCACATATAACGATTAGTTAAAAATCTTCTAGAAAACAAACTTTAGCATAAATAGCTTTTGGATTACTGTTTTCAATTATGAATCTTTTTACCAAAAAAAAAAAAAAAATTAAATAAAATATATATTAACCGACCTCATTGTTCTTAACTACTTGTTTTGAATTATAATAGTTACCATCTACAGTTATTATTGAATCATATTAAACAAAATAAAAGTAACACTTTTCATGAATAATTTTTATAACAATCATGTTGGATTAGAAATCTTAATGCCCCTTATCAGCTCCTTTCTGTCGAAAGCAGTGATAACTGATTTTCTCACTATTTTAAATTAGCTAAGTTCCTAGAACAGTCGGTCACACACGTGACTTCTTCTTTTTTTTTACATAACTTATTTTGCTACGTTTCTATCAAAGAATTATTAGAACTACCTAAAAAAAAATATTAACGAAAAACGAATAGAAAGACGGGTCAGCATATTAAAACGTCAAATAATACATTAATATAGTATACTTATAAATAATAGCTATTTATCAATTCTTATGAAACTGCTGTAGATGTATAGGTAAAAAATATTAAATAAATTTATATATATATATATATTTTTTAAAACTATTTATTCAAGATATTTACAACTGTATTACAATATAAATACATCAAGTAAATGTGTACACAAGTATATAATCACTTGAAAACGCTTGTTGAGAAACTACCCACAGGTAGCACTCTAATAATATGTCTACATAAGGAGATCACGGGAACATCTTCTTTTCAGACGCATCGGAGGGATTAAATAAATATAAACAAATTTAGAGCACAAATGATAATTACATATTATTGTGGATTTACTGTAACAAAAGAAACTAAACTGAATTTTATCAAAATTTCAATCATTCTTATTTTTAAAATTATTTTCATATTATTTCTGATCACAGGCGGATTTACTGGGGGGGAAGGGCTTTCGGGCTGAAGCCCCCCTCACCCCCTTCCAAAATGGTAAAATGTAACCATGTTTTAAGGTAAAAAATATAAAAATATTATGTCTTAAAGTATTATTGCTCGTTTAATTACATTTAGTAGGGCTTCAAGAATCACTTTAACACCATTTCATATAGGTAGTTAGTATCTTTCTGTTTTTCCAACGTAATTATCGTTATATATATGAAAAAAAAGCTTACGGGCTGAAGCCCCCCAAAATTAAATTCTCGATCCGCTAGTGTTTCTGATTAAAGAATGCAAAAGAAAATATTAGTGTCACTTTGTGTAAGTTTTTAAAGGAATATATCTCGAAATCACCATTATGAATACAGCTTTTTTAAAGATAATCAAATATGGAATCTTCAAATACGGCACACTTTTGTTGAATGTTGAAGGGTATTTCCGAATCGACTTCTCCCAGAGATTTTATTCTCATACAAAAAATTGTATACCTTGTAATATACAATGAAAACGGTGAGGAAGCTATACTGGCCTTACTTGGCAAAGTTTTTTAATTTTTATTTTGAAGTAAGATCCTTAAAGCTATAAATAAAAATGTAATTGTAAAAACCTCGGTTCTTAGTTGCGATGGAAAATCAAGTTTGGTCATATTAATATGTATAATATAACCGACATTATTGATGGTGAAATTAAAGTGGAACAACGCGGAGACATTGTATAGCAGGTGATCGGTTGAGACAATCACCTGGCAGGGGCACAATACAATGACAATTAATTACACCTGGATCGAAGGATAACCAGAGCATTGATCTTAGCTGGCCAATATACCGCCGGCTCAGGATCTTTAATCTATCCCTTGGGGAACAAAGAGGAACAGGGAGTAGATTGCAGGATGGGAAGGGACAGGATTGGACATGGGCAATCTTCGAAGATTGCAGTCCTTCCTAGGAAATGGCTACCTCTTCTTACCGCGCTGGTAGACATCTGCGGCGGCTAGCTTTGAGAAAACGCATAACGTCAGCGGGGGAATCTCGTTTCAATGCCTTCATTGTAAGTTTCCGAAGTAGTTATTAATGCAAGTTATGACAAGTATATTTTATTTTAACACATTCAGGTATATAATATTTATAAATAATACGCTCATCCTAGTCCATTGTTTTGAAGAATACATTAAGAAGTAGCACTAAAAACGAGATAAGATTAAAAGAATGTTTCGGGAAGAAACATCTGAAGAGGGGGAAAAAAAGGCGGTCAGATCTAGGTTCCAGATAAGACCGGTGTTTCCAGGTGTGTTGGATGTTGTTGCCACATTCACGCTCGAAATAGGTGCCAGCCTGATTATTGAAAAGCCACCCGGGAAATTGATTAAAACATCAGCATCTAATATAAACAGAGAAAAAAAATAACAGAAACGTAGATAGAGAATTAAAAAATCCAAAAAAAAATCCTGTATAATAGGAACGACCATAGCCGATTTCTGAATATGATTCGATTAAAATATACCACAATAAGGAGTAAATATTTTTAAGGTGTCACTGATCATCTCAGTTCTATACTTCTTTATAATTTTCTTTTATAGAAATATTTCTGATGAATTAAAAAAGTAATAATAATTGTGTAATTTAAAAGGAAAATAACAAAAAAACGGAATTTTAGAACAGATTTATAATTATGTTGTTAAATGTCTCGTAAAAGAAGTTACTCAAGTAGAACATTCAGCTTGAGGATTTCATTCACTCACGTTGGAATATTCAATATGACCAAATTACATCCAAATTTCCTAGTTTAAACTAAAAGCAGAACGAGCAATTTAATGTTAAGTTTAGCGGTCGTAATGATTACTGAAAATTATATTCATAAATTATAACTGTCCTCCCTCAATGAGAGGAAGCAACCTCAGGCAAGATTCCATCTCTTGTCTCAGTCATTCTTGCTACGGCACAATGGATTGAAGGTCTAAGCTTTATTCTTCAAGTACTTGCGTAGAAAAATATAATAAAATATTATCTTATGAAAGAGAAAGATAATTACAGATAATTTATATTTTCTTTATGCTACAAGACCCTTTTTTTCTCCGTGCTTAATTTTCCAAAATCCTAGAACAGCTTATCATTCCTAATACCATCCCCAAGATAATGCATTGGATCGATAACAGTTTCGTGGATGAGAGCGATCCTTCCTATCTGCGGGATATCGTGCCAGTCTAACCGAGGTGAAGTTCAATGTCGTGTGGCATCATTCCCAGCTATCTCCCGCTGCACGAACCGACCCACACACAACGATAGTAAGGTTCATCTCCAACTACTCAATCGATAGTAGGTAAAATAGAAGATTCGGCTAGATAGTTGTCTATTTAATACATGATTAAATTATTAAACAATTATCACAACTAATAATATAATGGAAAACAAACAAAATTTACATAGATATGTATATGGTGAACTGTCAAAATTGTAAGGATGAAAAATATAGAAGTAATGATTACAACTACAAATATTTTTTTTTTTTTAACTTTTTTATTGAAAAATATTACAATCTGCCTCACACGACATTTATAATAGTGTTCAGAGATCACATTCACACTCTATGAACAATAAATAAAATAAACACAAATATTAAACGCAAAGTTTAAACTTGAACTAAGCTATCAGTTATTTTCACAGGAGTTGGCTTTTGTTTTTGTGTAGACCAGCAAGGACAGTGGGAGAACTAGTTTTAGAAAAAAGACTCGTTTTAAGAGTTCGTATTCAATGGAGGGAGAATACCTTCTAAACACATACAATACTCACAATAATATCAAACCGAGACAATATTTTTATTTTATTTAATTGATGACAATTAATCGTTGTTCAGATTAATCGATAGTGGAATAATATTAGTTACATATAACGAAATAAGTTTTTACAAATTGAATTTATGACTCAGTCCCAATTTTCTTCTTCTTGAGTTGTTGAACTTAATAACGGATAAATGTAGCATTCGTACAAATTTAAAATTGGAGCGGAAACAATCCAGTCAGCCCACGAAACGCGATACTTTAACATAAAATTTAGAAATAATTTTCTCACTCCCTCAAAAATAAAAATAATGTAAATAAAGCTATAATAGTGCACTCAGAGCTACACTGATAGTCAACACAAGTTGTCTGCTAGTATGCGCTTAGTCAACATCATTGTGCACATAAAATAAAAATTATAAATAAAATAAAAAATACAGGGAGATGATAGAGAACATTCGGTAGTTTCGGAGTGAGGGTATGAGACAATTTTAAAATCCTATCATTAATTGCTTCCTGAAATAAAAAAAATAAAAAAAGAAGAAAATTGATCTAAGAATTACGTCGGCTTAAAATAATTTATAGTAAAATAGTACAAAGGCCCCAGTTAGACCAGAAAATAATATTTAAACAAATACAAATTTAGATTTTCTATATAACAAGAATAAATTTTACTCGTTATTGAAGCCATTTTCTTTGCTTTCAAATTCTCATAAATACAAAAATAATGTACCACTACAACCCATGAAGTGTTTCTTGATCGACGGTAGTGCAATGACGTGATTTGACCGAAATCACGCTCAACCGTCAGGTTTAATTAAATAATTAGGAGTACCGACTTTATAGAGGCTGAGTGTGCCCTATGAGGTTCTCCCGACCCCATGGTCGATCCACGGCTGATTAAACAGGATAAATAATTATCTGCCATCAGCCGGATTCGAACTTCAGACCTGGAGCTTTGAAGTCAGTGCTTTACCCCGCTTCCCCGAATTCTCTTAACTACGAAAAAATAAAACGAAAGTTGATTATCAATGACTTAACTTTACGGAAGAGCCTAAAGGTTAGGATAAAGAAAATTAAGCCGAATAGGTGTAGTGAATTATGTATTTATGGCAAAGACAACGGCAAAAGAAGCCTAACAACATTATGAAAAAAAGAAAATTAAAAACAAAATTTAGAGGGGATGGTATACCTGCTTTGATCTCATCCTGCGTAGGATGTAGGCATAATAAATTGAGCTTCTCTTCTTAAGTTTGTTATACAAATTTCATTACATCCACATATATTCACAAACAACCTAAAACATCCTTTGGGAATTTTTAAACCACAACTTCTTTTTATATAACTCATAGAATAACAAACTAGTTAATGGTTAATGAAATTGAAGATGATAAATGTCAGACTTAATTCCCCTTAATTTTACAACCGTACCAAAGCTGCTTACGCAACAAAAGGAAGGTTCAACACGACGGAACCAGTCTAGATCGATATAACTGCCGCTAATAATCGATTCCTATCTCTGTTCCTAATGACCTAATACATTAACTCTGTCTGAGTGGTTTATTCCGCCAATCTGTACAGTTATTAAACTAGACAGAGATTATGTTGCTATCACGATAAGGTGTGTTAAAAAAGTAACGGGTAGAGGAAAAGGGGGTCTATTAGTTTTGGTAAGTTTGTTATGTGTCAGATTAGTGTAAAAATGAAAAAAAAAAATTAAGTCGTAATATATTTTATTCTAGGTTGAACGGCCTTTGAAACAAAACAAACATTCATTAGCAGCGGTCGATTTTATCAGACAGTGTGAGAAAGCTGCGATTAAGAACCCTCCCAGGAAGGAACTCAACCTGGGCACCGTAATCTACTCAACTCATTTCCAGTCTTGTGTTGATTAATAATAACTAAGTATGTGTGTTTGTGTGTGTGGATAGCTGCATTTATTAAATAAATATTTAATTAAAAATACAATTAGTTAAAATTAAACCACAATTTATGTGATTAAAAATTAATTAATAAGAAAATTATAAAATGAAAGTAAAGATAACACTCATAGCTTATATACGTCGTATTTTGCTCAATCATTGTTATTATTTACTCTTTAGGCATTTTTTTTTAAATCAAGGTGAATCAAATCAAAATTTGAATACTATCATAAGGACCCAGATTTATTATCATTGCGCTGATAATTTTATTTTTATGACCGACAAAACTCTGCTTAAACAACACTACTCATTGCATTCTCTTTGACTTATAAAAGCGAACTATAACATAATATCTTTAATTTACAAGAAAACAAAAACTAGGGACAAAATAATTAATAAAAACTGAAATAACTATTTTATTCAATATATGATTACAAATAATTCACTAACTAATTTGTAATTAATTGTTTTATTGATTGATAACTAATTAATAAAACTAACGTTCGAATCGAAAATATCAATAGGAGCGTCGCATGTTTTTAAAACAGAAGTTTGGCATTAATGTTTCTCATTATATATTTTTTAATTTTAATCTAGTAACGCTTATTCAAGCATCGCGGTAAATCAATTTTAGAAAAAAATAATAATACCATCATGATCTGAAAAATATCTAAAACAAATAACCTTTTACTAAAATTATGGAAGCATTCAACAAATTTAAAAAAACTAAAATTTCTTTAAGAAGGCTGGTCTATATTAAGAGATATGATTAAAAAATGAACATAATAAATAGCACGACATAAATGAAGCTCTAAATTAAATAATTGAAAAAAACCCATTTAGTGTACGTTTTAACACTTAACAAAATCCAATCATCAGTTTTTGACTTAGATTTAATTTAATATTTAAATTGCCTTTATTGATAACGAAAAGTTATTTTGATAAATAATTTTATAAAAATATGATAGGTATAAAAATAAATATTGTCATTTTTGTTCCCTTGGATTATCTATTTTTAAGTTCATATTAATTACGCAATTAACAATTAAATAAGTTGTTTGCAATTCCTTAATTATTAGTTGATGAATTTTTAAAAAAGCGAACAAAAATATACTTTTTATTTGTTTTCAACCTCATTTATTTTTTATATTTATTTAAGTAAAAGACGATATTCAAATGATACGATTGACACAGATAAATACCTTAATGAAGACTCACTGAAAATACATTATAAATTTTATTTTGAAAAATAATGCAACGTCTACAACTTAATAATATAATTTTACGCGATCGTTTTGGCAAATAATCGTTAAACCTACCTGCTTAAATTAAGATGAGAGTAAGTAAGAATATTTTTCTCGAATCCGTAATCTTTACAGCCACAATCATTGCACAAACATCACGTTTCACGATAAACTTACCCAAATTCCAAACCAACCAATCTCGGTCTCGTAACCGGTCTCAAATAAACAGACACGAATCAGAAATAACACTGAAAGCATTACCGCCAATCATCCACGAACTGAAGAGACGTTACCGATTTACGTAACGAAGTTAATTTGCTCAAGGTATTCGAGCCGCCAACGGGTACGCTACGAACGTAACTTACCGTTCGAATTCCGATAACGAGGGAAAGTATTTGCACTTTTTTTTATTGTGCAGTCGTCTTGTAAAAAATATAGAGAGGGGATGCTAGAGAGGGCTCTGAATATTGAGTTAAAAATAGATCCATTAATTAGTTATAGCCATTTCACGAAGGGACATGGGTAATAGAGCTTTAACATGTATTTAAAATCAAAGTTCCTTCTAATAGAAGAAGCATTAAAATAATAAATAAAACATGCTGCTGTAGGCCATCACATAAAAGTAAAAATTTTCTTCAGTGCATATATTATATTTTTTTATAAACATTATAAATTAAATAATCATCGAGCGTAATTTATCAATAGATTTAGTACTGACTGGCTAGATAGAAATAAGTCCACGTAATTATAAATAAATTCGACGTATAAATAACACCGATAAAACATGTGTATTCGTATAAACAATATAATATTATAAAGATCAGTCAGCATAATGCCTACCAAGATTGTTAAATAAAAATTTACCTAACATGTGATTAACTGTCCAACTAGAAAATATGTCTTAAGTTAAATAGTTGTGCAATAGGCAGATCTGAACTTAATTTTCAATTTTTTCAACCTGGTTTCAATTTCTATCACAGGAGAGACTGGTTAGGGTTATGACACTAGCCATATTAGTAAAACCATAACGAATTGCCGATAGGTTTATTAGGAGGAATGGGATGTTGTGCCTGTCTTTATTTAACATCATCATTCCTAACGCATCGCGCGACATTTAAGCTGGTAGAAGTCTTTATAACTTAATAGCAGACAAAAGTAACAATTTTTATTATATTTCTTTGAATAATTGTCATTATATGTAAAGATAGAGTAATGGATGTTTTTCCTCGTTAAAAGTTAAATATTAGTCTTTTTACCTAGGACTCCACCTGGACAAGCGTCTAACTTGGAATCCTCATACCAGACTGAAACAACAAGAAACCACTCGATGTTTCCGATAACTTCAGCACTTACTAGACAAACGCTCTAAACTTCAACAACATAAGTCTTACAAAAGACTTATATAAATGACTATAATAACACGTATTTGGACTTACGGAGTTGAGCTCTGAGGCTCCACTAAACCATCGATTCCTCTCGTATCCAATCCTTACAATCCAAAATCCTCAATGCTCCCTACTTTGTTACAAATAAAACCACCCATAATGAACTTAATGTTCCTTATGTTTCAGATCTGGTCCAATCCAGATACCTATCCTTCCATAATAAACTTTAGAATCATCGAAATCCTCTCGTTTCTGACCTTCCTTCTTCTTCAATTCCTGATAACCATCCGAGGCGTCTGAAAAGAAGATGGCTCCGTGATCTCCTAATGTAGACATATCATTAGAGTGCTACCATTGGGTAGTTTCTCAACAAATATTTTCACGTCATTATATCCATGTGTTCAAATTTACTAAATGTATTTTTTTAATACAGTTGTAAATATCATTAAGAAATATATATATTATAGTCTTTAATTAGCAGTGTACGTAGATAATTTTATACTGTCGAGGCGACTGTTTTTTCGCGAAGTAGTGCGTTGTGTATGGTTGTGGCGCATTTTCTGGGTAAGATTATGACATAAGTAATTTTTTTTCTTTTGGATACCCAAAAAAAAAAGCCCGAGGCAGACTAAAAGTTGATTCTCACACAAATGTTTATTCCAAATTAGTTATAAGCGATTAAATTGTTTTATATTGTTATATAATACAATACAAGTGATTTTAGCCGCCGATTTCAAGGGCTGTCACAACCACTTGGGATGGGGTCGGTTGACATTTTCCATTTTTTTTCCTTTTCAATTTGCTCTTACGAGATAAGAAAATTGAGGGAGAATAAATGAAAACTGTCACAACCGTACTCAGTCTCATCTACAGCCATACATGGATATTTTTAAAAATTATAAATATTATAAAAGTTTCTTTAATATCCGAGGTGGCCTGCGGACCATAGAACCATTCTACTTCATCTAACTTTTAACAGAATTTTAGTTATTCGAATACTACCATGAATAATAACATTTCATACCATGAATAATTAATTTCAAAAAAGGTAAACATTAGAGCTTTACAACATAGTGGTCAGTAAAGTACTTTTTGAAAAATACCGCGTCGAAAGCTTTAAAATAAAACTTATCCCGTGTCGAATTTTGATACCATCCATGTTTTAAAACCTAGCAATTTTTCAATGATTTTTATTTATGTTTTAGTTTGTATTAAAGGGCCGAAAACGAAATAGGTCACTTCTCAATGAAATAGCTATGAAAAGAAATATATCTCATCTTTTGATGAAAATGATATTAAGCAGTTGAAGCTTCAGGCAAAGTCACAGTTGAACACATTAAAAGGAACAAACGCGAGCAATCAAAGACCCACATAAAGTAGTGTCGGATTCCAATTAGTTTGTAAAAAATGTTTATTGTTGTTCAACCAAGGAGATGATGATTTCTCGAAAGATAACTCGAGAGGAGATTGAATCGACAACACTCCAGCGAGCGCGAACCAGGAGGGGATGCCGTTTCGATTCCGTCCTCTGAGAGGAGTTTCATTTCGTAATAGTTTGGTAATCTGTGGAATAACCCGTCATTTCTGTTCTACTTGGAATACTCTCCGGAGGATAAAAACAATCGTAGTTTTAAACAGAAAATAAAAAAAGAAAGGTTTCTTGGAAGAAACATTCGAAAGCAACTAAACGCCGAGACAAAACCATAACACTGAGGTCTCACTAGCCCCTGACGTGTAGTATTTACCCGCGACACGCCGTACGTTATCTTCAAACTCTGTCTACACGACACATGCTCCTTATCTGCATCGTTGATAAGAAGGCAAGAGCAAATGTTACGTAAGATAATGGGGGATGTGGGAACGCCAGCAGGTTTTTGATACAGAGCTATCAGGTTCTCGCTGGAGGCTGGAGGGCGCGGTCAGGAGTAATTTAATGGTAGCGATAATGGCTGTCAAGGATTCGAAACAAACAACATGACAAATTAGCGATGTCTCTAAAGAGTTGTTTACTTATCAACAGGACGTACACATCCTCCATCATGCGCTGGAATTATAAATGATTGTGAAACGTTACTTCGCTACAACGGGGGCACCACCACCAACAAGATATATCCATTTGGTTTAAATAATGATAAGGAAATGCACTCATACCAAAATTCTCAATAAAAAATATAACTATAAAAATATATAAAGAACAGACATTTTTTATAAATAAAAACGCAATAATATTTTTGAACAGCAATTAGTAATTGAATAGTAATTTCACAAGGATTCCAGAAGAAACTGTTTATGGTGACACATAGATACCAGATAGATTAGTTTCTTTAAAATATTAATTATATAACGTTTAAGTAGTTTAATAAAAATGTCTATTGTCGTAAGGAACGACTTGATTCGAATGAAAAAATATGTCTTTATCCTCTTCAATTTATTAAGTGGTATTTAGTATGTTTGTAACTGTTGTTATTACATCATCTAAATTAAATTAACAGTTACGACAACCAACTATCAACCAACACATACGCGATCTCTGCTCCAGATTTCATCTTAAACTACACGGACATCACAAGGGACTTATTAACATGGCCACAGCTGACATGCCTATCTGGAGACGACTAAAGAGGAGCTGGATGAGAGATCTCCTTTCTTGAATTAAGGAAATAAATTAAGACCAGGAAGAAGTGCTGCTGGGTACAATTTTTTTTTCTCATGCCTGAAACGTTAATTTTTCGTAATAGTGACGCACGCCTGCTTATTGTCAAGCTCATGACAGGTATGGATAAAATATGAAGACAAAAAAAAATTAAATTCGTCAATTAAATTTCCTTTTTTTAATTTCTTTTATTTGTCGATAAACGGTTTATATTATTATTTTAACGTTCGGAGGAATGTCTCCCATTTTTAGAACATCTTAAAATCATTCTATACAATTTTAATACTGCATTAAAAAAAAAAAGTAATTATATGTACTCTACATATATATACTATGTCCTTGATGTGACAGAATGTGATATTTCTAAATAAACAAATATGGAAAAAAAACAAAAACATATATATATATATATATATATATATATATATATATACATATATATATTGTAATAATACTTTATTCACTTTTTTTAAATTTTGTAAAAACATATTTTTGCCATTTTGTTAAACAATACAATTTCTATTTTAGTCCAAAATATTAATGATTAATTTTAAGGAGTATAGTGTTTACACATTTCAGGTTTGCCACTTATCATCGAATGTTCTACTTACGTACATATTAATCTTTTATTTTGCCTAATAATCCTAATTTTTATTTTTAATGGTTTGAGATGTGGTCGTATTATTAATAAGAAACCAAAGGTTTAAGATAATGAAGAAAACTTCTTATTATCCAACAATAATTATTATCCAAATCAAAAAATTGGATAGTAGTTTGTAACCACTGCTCTCATGATGATGATCCACATGCTACGGTCGAAACATCGGAAAACATAAATGTCCTCATTATTTGCCAGTCTCATAATTTTAACAATCAAATTTACATCTCCTTTTCTAAATTATGGAGTGTGAAGTATATAGAGCTGAAAAGAAATTTTGACAAAATAAATCGGGGTCGCGATTTTTTCAATAGTGAATTGTGCGCGAATTTCCACTTTTAGGTAGTACAATTCCCATCTTCTGATTGTTGGTAGTTGTAATTGCCAGGGGCGGATTAATAAATGAAAGTGAAAAAAAATAATATTTAATACTATTAATGGGATCCGTTTTAAACTCATTATTTAGCCGAACTGATCAATACTAATGACCGAATGACTAACGTTCTACAATCAGGAGATGTCACAAAGACAGAGCCTTATTACGTAAGAACGGACAACACTAATGAGACAGCTAAAAGTAAGAGGCTGGCCTTCTGCGGCGTGGAGAAT